GCTAACAAGCAAGCAAAATACAATAATCGTTCTGATGTTCATAGCGGTCCATAGCTACCATGCAAAGAAAGGAAGCACTAGGGTTGAGTTACTGCCAGATTGCCCATACCAAGAAGGGAGCAGTGGAGGTTCTAAAGTTGGGTTCGAAACACGGACTCTCCGGTCAGTAACCAATTATGACCCAATACAGGTACGACGGCCACAAATTGTGACCAATCCACGCCATCTAAGAAACATTGCCAAATGCTATTTCCAACTTCCCCGAATCAAGCCACCAATGATCTGAGATTTCGTAAAATCATCGACTCTCAATCTTGGTGAAAACCGTATAGGTCTGAGATCATTTATAAGATTACGGATTCTCTCGGAAGTTGACTAACTTACAGTTTTCCCATAAAAGCGATGTTTACTGGTTCCGAGTATCCACAATGCCTGGTGAGGTTGTTAGGTGGTTAAGTGAAGAGCTGTAGGGGATTCAACCGGGTCATCACCTTTGACAACACCAGATGAGAATACTTATACTTTACTGTCATCCCAGTTTATTTGAATAAGGCCTCATATTGGAAAGAAGAAAGAAGCTGACCAGAGAAAGGGCTCGGGGCTAGCCTACAGCACATCCCTGGCGCCTACACTTCCAATACACAGCCAGACAATCTGGATCGAAACTGACAGCACCAATCTCGCTGACGTCTGTTAACCCCCACATCGTTCAGTGTCTCCATTTAAGCACAGAGACGGTCACATAGACCGTAACCCGGAAGGTGATCAACAGCCAAACTCTTCTTAAAGTGCCTCAAACCCTCTTGCCATGTCTAATTCTGTCCACCTCTAGAATTTCGCAACACTGAATTAGTCACAGAAAACAGTGCTGGTCTGGGCAGGCGGTAACTAGGCATGTGTGATGCATTACCAAGCCACCTTAGCTTGCGTTGGTGGATACATTCTATAAGTGAAGCATCATCCTCTTCAACAGAATCTCATCTCCTGATTATCTCATTCCGAATATGTTAGTTCCAACGGATCCTATCTATAGTGCTGAGACGCTGGTAGTCAAAGACTTGAAGACGTCTCATGTACACCGTTCAAAGCGGCCAACTATCGCGGCCGTACATCAATCTGACCAGTAGTGCGATCTGACACATGCTCTCTTTGAAGTCCAGTGATGTGTCTTTCTGATGACACGAGTGGCGCAAATGGGCAAGAGCAAGTTCGGCCTTTGAGATTTGTGCGCTGAGTTCTTCTGTAAAAGCTTTTTCAGAGCTAACCCAACCTCCAAGTTATGTATGGCGTTCTACAGCTTCCAGTATCACTCCCTGAATTCGTAGAGGTATATTCAAGGACTGTACGTCTGCGGCATGACTTTGCACTTTGTGGCGTGAAGCTCGTCAAAAAAACGGATGACGTGATTTGCTTGGAGATTGAATGGTAGCAGGTTAAAAAAGTACTATTCTCAGCTTTCAGAACTGTTAATCCAAGCCTGAATTAACATTGGATATTGTCGAGATCCGTAGATCTTACTACTGTCAAAAAGGTCATACTAGCAACTGGTGACTGTGATGGCGCACACAGATCCCTTAACACACAGGAGAGTCAGGAACTTGAAGAATAACAGAGCGCTGGTGGATTTTGAAGGTTCAGGAAATGGAGAGGACTTTTACCGCGCCCCATTCAAGCTGGCTCTATCAACCGGTCGAAATAAGACAACTGCCAGCGAAGCGATGTGCGAAAATGACGGAATGGCACTCCAGTCGCAAAATCATCGTCCAGAACGATGGTCTGAACACCTCAACTAGCAATCCATCTGGAAGAACCCAGTTGGCCTGAATGGAACGTGGACACCAGTCCGCCATCACCTACAGAAATCCAGCGTCAGATATCAACTCTCTGGACCGGATAGTCTGCGAGGTCCCGGAACTAGTCTGAAAGCCATACTGCAGATTTGAAACGAAAACAGCATACCAGTCGAAGGGAATTCCTCCACCGTCATCCAAGTTTTCAAAAAGAGCGCAATAACGTCATGCGAAAACCATTGTGGCATCAGCTTGGTATCCGTTGCATCTGGGGTGCTCTCTGGCGTTACTTTGCCCGGGTTGATCGTGAGAATGAAGCCTGGTTTCGCCCTGATCAAGGATTCATTGGCCATAGCTTTACCCTGAGGCAAGTCCTTGAACAGCGCCATTCCTTCAAACGTCCCACGTTGGTTGTTTTTCTTGATCTGAAAGCTGAGTTGTCGATCGTAAGAAACTGGCTGTGTCTGGTGACCACAGATGTCCCTTCCCAATTTGTACCCTTTATGATCGCTCTGTATGTGCAGCCCTGTGAGCGCATACGGGTATACTGCAAGCTTTCATTTGAAATCAACACATCCAGTGGTGCAAGACAAGGATGTCCGTCCTCGCCTTTCCTCTTCAACTTCGTTATTGATGTGCCGCTTAAAATTGCTTTGCCTGTCTCTGAGAGCTCGAGGGTCGAAATGATCCGGGGCAGTTCGCACACACATTTAGTATGCGGACGATATTACCCTCCATGGTTCAGATTCTTCAAAAATTCAACCCATTTTAAATAACGTAAATAATTCTTCCGCATGGTTTGGTTTGCGCTTCACACCTGCAAAGTGCAAAGTGATGCTGCAAGACCGGGTGAGGTCAAACACAAACCTCATACTTGGATACGAGCTAATCGACGTGATAGATAAATTTGTTTATATGGTAGACTGGCTGGAAATGAGATTTATTCTCAAATAGGTAAGGCCAGAGCAGATTTTGACAACTTCCGACACCTATGGTTGATGATCTTATGTGTTCATGGGAAACGGATATGAAGTTAGTCTTGTGTGGTGTGGGTTATGCCGGTTCCAAGCCTTCCAAATGTAATGTATAGTCTCCAATACAAGGCAGGTTCGTCCGAGGTAACTTAAGTGGATAGAAGAGAGAAGGATAAAAGCGCAAGGATGTATGTCTACTTCTGAGGAATCCTCTGGTGAACACGGCCGTGTCCGACAAGATTAGTAGGGAAATAATCAATCTGTATAGGGATGGATGCAGCTGAGGGCTGCACTGGGAGGTGGATGAGAGTTGGGCTTACGAGAGGTAGAGTGGAGTTTGAAGGTGCTGTGGAAGTGTACATAGTGTAACCGGAAGTTGGATATTTTGAAGGCCGTGGGTATTGATACTCCACGCATCGCTCAGAATGATATCCTGGCTACAACAACCACCCCCCGCTAAAGCCGTTCATAAAATCAAAGGTGAAAAAATTAGTTTCTCGGTTTCACGCTGTTCCGAAATACCTGGACTGGATCGCCGTCCTTCTGAGTTTTTTCACATACCTGTCGCAGCTTGAGACTCTTCGGGGAGTGGTGTGGATCCAACTACATCGACCAATGCGGTCAACTCCTGGTGCTCAGAAATCTCGAATCAGGCCATCGCTAACTCTCTAATAGGCCAAGCTAAATGTGTCTATGACCTTTCATCGATGCCTGTAATTAGTGCATCTCAGATCCTGAACAAACACTGGGCTCATTGGTGTTTCTCTGTTGGGTATACAAGTGGAGTTTGCTTTATGTTGACAGACCTGACAAAGAGGATTAGCACTGGTTTAGTAAGCTACAGTGTGGGGTTGGCAGGAGGCATAATGCTTTTCTTTAGTGTTTTTCATAGTGTTTTTGTCCTGAGGTCTGTAAGAGCCATGCTGCGTGATGCGCGATCATCATTTTATCCTTTAGTAGGTACATGTTCAGGCGATGCTATCCGGCTGGGATAGGACCGCTGCTTGTATGTGAGATGTTGTTGACTTTGATCTTCAGATATGCGCCGGTCGTTTTTATTGTGAAGTAGCTTATGTCAGCAGGTAGGGATTGTTGTCGTCTGTAGGGATAGTTTGCCGCATATTAATATCGACAGCGAACAGTGACACGCTCGGCTAAACGTTGCCGCTAAGTTCGTTGACATATAGGTTAAAGACAAGGACGCTGGCCTATATATTTTTAAGACCACCTGTGCCATCTGGATATTGTGTCGTTTATAGTATTTAGTAACGATCCAAATACTTTTCTTGTATTATGAAATATTTGTATGTTTAACCGGTAAATTATAAAACGAACGTAAGCTCGTGCAGGTTAAAGAATATATCTAGGCACTCTAGGTTCATGGTCTTCTGCATGCTACTCCTGGGTAATAGGCCAATTCTCCCTGACAACTGCCTACTAGATGCCGTTAACTTTTCCGTGCTTCTTTGGCTCCTGTTCGAGGTTTTTCCAATATCCTACAAAGTGGCGGTGATGCGATTCATTCGCAGTTATGAATTCAATTTATTTGAAAGAGTTTGATTCCGTAGTCTTCTGGCATTCGGTGGGAGCTCATGGAGGGCTTTGACCATCAGATGTCTGACCTGGGCCAACTCCCTGGGCACAAACAGTTGCAAACCGTAATCTTCAGTGGCCTTGTAGCCTACTGGGATTTGTAGCACTTGTTTTGTCATTTTAGCTGAGTAAGCCATTCCACTGAAGATTGTCCGTGATGACTACATATTGTATAGCTTTTGTTGTGGGTTGGCGGGCCTAAAAATAAAGCGAAGCAGTCTGTTAGTAGTTCATCACAGCCACTGTCAGTGTTGACACCCAGTGTTGTCAGCCAAGAAAGTAGTGCCGCCATTTGTTTATGTTTTTGCCGAAGGTTTTGTGCGAAGCTGCCCTAACAGTCAGCGTTAGTTGTCGTTCATAATCTTTCTGTTTACACTTAAGTGCCATTACCTCATTTCTCGTAGCCTGCTAGCCGGCCTTATTGTCATAATCATTCTTTCGTGCGCCCTAGTGAATAGTTTGTTGATCTTGGGGGTTTCACGGATGAAAGTAGTGATGTTTCCGTTTGCAGATGCAGGTCACGTTTCCGTGGGCTCAATCAGCTTCGGTGTCGGTGTGGTCATTTGAGATCTAGTATATTGGATTAAACCTTGTCTCGTCACATAGAAGTTCATCTGTTAGGACGTTCCTTTAAAGCGGTTTGCTCGCTGATCCCAGTGTGGGTAACTTCCGGACATGGTTTTGAAATTCGGGATCTCTGAGGAACATGAGATCTGAGTGTGTGATCGTCTGTCTACCTAGGATAGCTTACTGAAAAGTGCTATGACGTGGACTTCTGTGGGCTTTTCGCCCGGATCAAAGTAGTGTCTTTCAGCTAACCGTGAATGTTAAGATTATCCAGTGTCTGGTCCACTGAGTAATGACTGTCCCACATTGTCTCGACTACAAAGGCCTTCGAATCCGCAATTGTTTTCAGGTTACTAGTAAAGTGCGTCCCAAAGTCTCCCTCTGCCAAAGACCTTAATGCGTCTTTCCAAACGATATCATCTCACTGGGCCAGAACAATCAGTGGACAGTTATTCCAAGGATGACGAGCATTCAGAATCGCAATTCATCATCGGCAACACGGCATTGCTCTACATTAATGTGTTCTGCCTTACAACCGAAGTTTTTTGAACGTCTTATTTTGAACATCTGGATTCATTGCACTACATTACCCACCAAATACCGCTCAGTTCCACATCTAGTTTATACCGATGGACGCTATTTATTCGATCGTTTGAGGAACGAATTTGCCCTCAGACCTGAACCAACCTTTAGGTTCTCAATTTTTCACTTTCCCGCCACTGGGGCAGATCCTCATCGGTTACTCCTGTGGAACGGGCTTTTCGAAAGTGCATATCTTCAAATAATTTGAACTCTGGCTGACTTCGAGCAAATGGTATTAAAAGGTATATCCAGAAAAGATGACACGGTGCTTATGCCCTGGTCGTGAGTCTGGAGTCCGTTACCTGGCATCATGAAAACAAGCCACATGGTGAAAGTTTGTTCAGAAGAACAAGGTTCCATTTGCATTTACGCGATATCACTGGAAAGGGGGGAATAACTGTCTGGAAATATGAAAATGGGGACCATATGAATGACCCAGTACTTGTGACCAAAACCATAGAAGTTCACTTTTGACCCCACTCGCATCATCCAGAGTTAGCAGTCCTAGATTAGGGACGTCGTTTGACGCAGAACATCCAGCTGCGGTAGTTGGGCTATGTGCTACGAATGCCAAGATCTGTTCACCAAGACGAGTTTTGTCCCCTGTGACTCCTTCAGAATGGCGCAAACTGAGATGTGAGCAGAGTAGGACTTATCAGAAGGATGTGGGAGAGATTACAGAGTTTGGTTGTTGGTAGCAAAATCCGCCCTCTGGGATGGGGTTCCCGTAACCATCAGAAGGATATGGGAGAGATTACAGAGTTTGGGTGTTGGTAGCAAGGTCCGCCCTCTGGGATGGGGTTCCCGTAACCCCTTGTGCCTGGACGTCTAATCGACGTTTGTGGAGTTCGTGCGGTCAGTTTCTTTCCAGATTGTCTCCTTTGGTGCTTGGAGGTCTAGGCAGATTAGGATGCTTGCAGTAGGTGAGCATGAAGTCCGTCTCTCATCCACTCTCTTCTTTTCACTTTGAGGTTTTAAATATAATTAAATAGGCTTTGATGTTACGCAGCAGTATCTAATGTTGACGGTGATGATGAAATACACACTCTCACTCCCTAACGCCTGCGCTGTTCAAATAGTCACACGTTTTCAGTACGTGGAGGATGTAGCTGTTAGTGGATCTGATCAGTTGTAGATGTTTCTTCCCCCTTGGAAAATTTATTGCCCAACGCATAAACGTTAAAACCAATGCTATCTACAATTTTTCTGGTGCTTTTCAGGTGAACAAAAACCCACTGAACACTCGAATAACAAAACCAACCCGAGGAGAAGACGCCTCGATCCTGCGCATTCTTTTCTAAATTTCTGAAGATGGAATGCGAAAAAAATGAAAAAGAATGTCTTAATTGGTTAGTCCCGCCCTCAGCTAACTCATAGCCGCCAGTGGTGTTTTTATAAGTCTTCGAAATTTTACAGTGCACGAAGCCTTCTGTGTTCGAAATTTATTGAAGTGTCCTACTTGCAACAGCGTAGTGCCGAAGGTCAGTTTTGAAGAGCACTCGATACAAGAACACGCGCTTACGCGATGTGAAGTTTGCAAAATGCGAGTTCCCAAGTTCAAAATGGCCAACCATCAGGTGATTATCGCCCTCAGTTCCTTCCCTTGTTTTTTTGCGTACTGTGTCTGATGGTTATTCTGTAGGGCACTTGTCCTGCTCGACCCATTGCTTGTCATTACTGTGAGCTGGAGTTTCCTGCCAACAGCTATGAAGAGCATGTCGATCGATGTAGTTCTCGAACCGAACTCTGTTCCGGCTGCGGAAAGTTCGTAATGCTGCGGGATCTACAAACTCATGCCTGTGTATTGTCGTATCCCTTCGAGAATGGGACCAAAAGTAAGGTTTTTCATTGAATTTTGTAATCTTACAGAGCCCGAACCTACGGGAGACCCCGATGTAAATCAGCAGTGTCTAAACTCACGTTGTTGTAGTTCACTAGTGACCTGGAACTCGCCACCCGTCTTCAATACATGGAACTGAATCAGGCCGTCTCGAAGTTGGCTGAAACTGAACAGGCTTCAGTGAACCAAGAACTGCCTCGCAAATCCTACACGTAAGACCATGTAACCCTGTGTTTTCGTCATATGTTTACTACCTTATAACTTGATTGTATGCCTTCCGGTTTCGCTGGCCAGTCGGGCCTATGGTGTCCTCTTTTGTCTGGGCTGTAGATAGCAGTTTTCTGACTATTACTTCTTTATGACGGCCAAGCACACCGGAAGTCACAATGTTGTGTAAAAGACTGGAACCGAAATTGCACCAACGGTAGGTAAGTAGTTCGTAGGTACTACCGGCATTCTCTCTGTACGGCCAATGTTTTGGTGGTTTTGAACAGATTGAACGGGAGTTGTGAACTTCAGGTTTCATGTCACTACTATCCACATGGAATTCGACGGATCCTCTAGCTGCGTTAGGCACCATTGCATTGTTCCCCTGCTCCAGAATCACCAATTCTGGACCAGTTAGGTTTTCGGACCATCGGAGTCCACGTACCACCAATGTACGACGCACCACCAGCATACTGCAACGGACAGCATTTGGTCCACTGTAGTTTGGTGCTTGCATTGAGGAACTTGCTCAACTGATTGATTTATCCTGTCCGTCGTTTTGTGACCTTCTCGCCGCATGGTGATTGGTATAATCCACAAGAACCCGAGTATCGGTCAAACGGTAAGTAACCAGGACTAGTCACTGCTGCTCTTCATAGTTGTATCTGTGGTGATCCAAGCAGCCACACCACCAATGGTCAGACAGGGGATTGAGGTTTGAACCCATCGGGAACCGAAAAGTCTGCCATGCGTGCGAGCCGTTCAGCCGCTAAATTTCATCCCCTGTTGTCTTTTGCTTCCCTATGTCAGACGGGTGACATAAGATGGAAGCTGGTGTCAACACTTAGGAGGCCATACTTATATAATATCCCACGTCAGAAATGGAAATCTCACAGCACATCCACGGTGTGACCCCAACTGCGTGCGATTTTAAATCTGACACTTGGAAAAAAGATGTTGAGTTTAGGCTATTCCACCAATTTGATTGCTACAGAGACGTATAGAAGCCATTTCGAGGGGCTACATAACAAAATTTCTTCAGAATATCAACTCATCATAGTGTCGCTCCTTTGGTTTTTAGTATGCGGTTTTGCGCTGTCTTTGGAAGCCAACATCCCTTGAAAGACAATTATTCAAACTTTCATTGTCTACCTCGCCATTAGATCAGTTACCTGATGCTCTCACATGGTCATCGGTCAGATTGCGAGTCACTCGAATTCCCATGCGCCACAATGGCCTATTTCGTGTCCCCCAAAGTACCGTATATTTGGGTGACTAGACTGATCGTCTGAGTACTGGTAAGAACTCACACCTGTAATTCTGCCCTTTGTGTGCCTCTACAAAGCCCTAACCGTTTTGCATTGGGGCGGAATATCTCTCTGTCTGTTTACAGCGTGAATTTGGGTTCCCACGCGGGGGAATGCTTCGTACAGCGAATGAAGGCTCAAAATCGAGTGCACCGCTGAACTGTCCTAGTTTTGTTAGTACCGTTGTAGAGAGAATGACACTGATCGCTAACGATTCATGGTTCTGGTTTCAGTCAGTTTGTGGTCCCATCATCTGGCTGGTTTGATTGTGAAAGACAAACATGCCCGTAGGATTTATGTTCGCTGATAATCTCAAGAGTTTAGATCAGGCTGTTTCTCGAATTCACTTGTCAAATGAAAATAGATCCTGGAATGCTTTGTCGTGGCTTCATTCGTTCCTCGTTCCTTTTTGTCGCTGATTGCCAAGGCCAAGCCAGCAACCGGTGTTGATGCTTCAAACTGCGAAGCCTCGCCAGAGGATTGAATGAGTAAGACTGCAGTCAGTCAACCGCAAATTTCATCTGTTTTTGGCTCGTGTTCTTGGTCTGTTGATGCCACGGCATTACAAAGATCGTCTCATCATTCAGTGAAAGGAATCAACGTTTCGTCGAGTCTCTGTCGGAAAATTTGGGCCTTTGTCCACTTGAAGCGATGGTAATTGATCATTTCTGAAAGCCAGTTAGACTACATTCTAAAAAAATTCTATCCAAAAACCCATTTAGCTGGACAAAACGTCTATGCTTATTGTTACTGTGTGCTGGTAACTAACGCTCCATTCTGAAGTTGTGCCGTCTGAAGGGCTGTCCCGGTCGTGCTGTCGACATCTTCAGCTTGTGCGGAGTGTATCGTCCTAGTAACACCGGGACAGCTGACTGTCCGTCCTCGAGCTCTGACCGCACGCACAGTCCGCTGTAGGCCATCGATTACCCAGTCGACGAAACTGGATAGAGTCCTTCACTTGCGTCTGTCCGTCCACACTCGTCGCCTAGTCTGTTGGCCATTTTTTCTCAGCCCATGTGGTGTGTCAGCGGCACGTTACTGAACCAGACCGATGCGCATAGTACCGTGGGTGGTCTGACCGGTTGGCCCCGGTGCACAGCTCCTGTCTAGATCCTTTTTGTAGCGCCCGCGTTCCCGAGGCGAGTGTAACAGCGCTGGCTCCCCATGCGTTGTAGCGTTCAGTGCATACAGCACACGTCCCAATGTACCGATTGGGGGACCGGCCTTCTCAGGCACATAAAATGCTGTTTCCGGAGCGTGACTCTACCAGTACTCGGACCATCAGTCCACTCACATCGGTGCTTGAACAGCTGTACGAGGGTAACCATTAGGAGTACCACAGCTCAGTCGATGACTACTTTGCGTGGACAGGTGAGGTGCGCATGACCGCGCACAGAAACCCTGGAACTTTATAAGAGGAAAAAACCTGAGAATCCGATAATTTTTCTGGGTACTACCTGGTACACGTCATCGCAGTTAGATGGCCATTCTGATCTGAGGTAAATACGTGCAAAGACAGTGCCACCTAAGTTGACTTCTTATCGGCTACTTGTAAACAACATATGCAATAGTCTCGTTCAACTCCACCGGACAGCGTACCACATCACGGAACGATCTTTGAAAGAGACCATTCGGTGAATGAATCAACGGAAAAAACGCCTCACTTTTGATCTTTTCCGAACTACCGCGACTTAACTGAGCAGACAGTTGATCGCTTCACACACCTTAGTGGTGTGTTTGCCAGTTGGTCCTTTTAAGATAGCCAGGTAGAGATGTAAATTAACACAGCAAAATGTTAGGAGTCAAACAACTAGTTGATAACTGTCTCTAGCGTTCACTGATTAATAGTAATCCGTGAGCGAGATGGTTCATTGGTTAGAGCGCGAATTTACTTACCGGAAGGTACATGGTTCGTACCCTACCTCTGCCTCTCGACCTCACCTGTCTAGGGTTATGCAACCAGACAGTATCCCAACCCTCGTGCTTCCTTAGGCATCGAAGGGGTGCTACAGCTGAACGGTTTTACTAATCCGTGGGTGGATCAGGAATGTCACTGACATCTGTACAATGTTCCTGGGTTGTGATGAACGTACCCACTTCAACCACATGATATCTCCCTAAGACCTCAACCATAGCTTGAACACTTCGGAGAGTGTATTTTTTCGCTGTGGATGCAACTGCTGAAGAATACCGATGAACATCCAGACCCCGCGTGAACCATCCGTTGAGCTCCGTGGATGCTTTAAAAACAGCTGATTTCGTTTACAAATGTTTAATTTTTGTTCCAAATGGAAGTGGCTGCTGGCGAACTTTCCATCCATACCCCGAAAGAGATGGCTCATCGGTTTTTCTTATTTATATATCAGTGGCTTTGCACTCTAGGCAACGTGTGGGAAACACCGACTTAAATGCCAACTCCAAAAACTGATAATCTCAATTTTACTTCATATTTTCCGGTGTAGAACCCGGCTGTTCACATCCGGTCCATGTTTTGTGTCCCCAACGGACCCCTTTATGCCCTTTATTGTGCAGTTTGTTTTATGCTACTACTTTAAAGGTAACATGCCGATTTGCCGGATTCATTAAGATTTTAACGCTTTGCCTTTTCTATCCTAAAAAACTTAGACTTCCTATTCAGTAGTAGCCCCCCTCCCCAAGAAATCGTTCCCCCATTCATGATCTCCTTGGTTTCGTCCAGTGACGTTTGGCTTGAGGTTAATGACCTTTGAGAAACCATCCCCGACTTTTGATAAAGACCTCACTGCTACTTCCGCTCATAATAAGGGCCTGGATTCGAAACTCCTGCAATTGGTCTCCCTCCGTTATAGTGTCAGGGACTGACTGACTGACTGCGCTGCGGTTGTGTTTCGGAGGTTGCTGGAGATCCACAACTTCATTTTCGTGAAAATGGTGCCTTTGAGAAGCATCCCCGACTTTTGATAAAGACCTCACTGCTTCCTCTTTGGACGCGAATTCCGCTCATAATAAGGGCCTGGATTCGAAACTCCTGCAATTGGTCTCCCTCCGTTATAGTGTCAGGGACTGACTGACTGACTGCGCTGCGGTTGTGTTTCGGAGGTTGCTGGAGATCCACAACTTCATTTTCGTGAAAATGGTCTCCCCCTGGGGCCAACCAGTACTAGTCGCTTTTGACGAGCAATCCCTTCAGATGGATATCTGTATACAACCAAACGCACCTGGAAAAAGGTTAGCAAAATTCTGGACGTTTTGGAAAGTACGTACTAAACGACATCATCCAACCGACCCACCACCTGCTGCAGCGACTTTTTCCCAGGTTTGTACTCCCCAGAAAGAACATCACAAAGTGACCTCTACTGCCAATTCTGATTGGCTCAGCGAAGGTTCATTTGTTCCTTTCTAGAGGAATTTTCTTAGGGTCCACACTGAAACTATCCTCTTCTGAGAGGAAGGTTGTAGCCTTTGTCAGATCCGAAGGAACTAGCTGATAAAAAATGACTTTCCAGTTTGGTCGCTTTCTGTTGGTCTTAGGAGACACATTTGACTAGTTTAGTTTTCCCTATAAAAACCGTCTCGAGGATGAAGACTATCTGGGTTGGTCTTTCAAGATCTTCTGTGAAGGAACAACTTTTTTCGACAATTGGGTCGCTCTCCAAAAAACTCACCTTTCAGAGTTGACCAGGTTTTTGGTCGGTCTCTCCGAAACTGTAAACTGTAGTTCTTGGCAAATCTTTTGCCCCGGGAGTGACCAGCACCCCTTTGCATGTTTTGATCAATAAGATATCACAAAATTAGTGAGATCTGCATCGTTGCAGGGAATTGAACCAGACCCTCTGAGGACATTTTTTATCAATGCGAAATGAACATCGCCACATCCAGAAACCCAGTCGCAGATGCGGGCTGCAGAGGTCAATATAATACAGGTCCCTTAGTTGATCTACGATTCGAATTTGCTGTACTATTTTCATAAAGGAGACTACTCACAAGGTTTCTGAAAACTCTTCGACAGCCCACGACCGGTTTCGCCCTTCTTGGAGCTCATCAGGTAGGCGTAGTCCCCGAGTTCCCATAAACCTTATGTTCTACTTGAATCCTAATTGGACTGTTTTCGAGAAATACACTCATTTGCAAATCAATTTGGTTTTTCACGAGAGACTCATGTGGGCAGCACATTCAGTTGTAGAATGTCATAAACGAGAGATTCAGTTGAGTCTCTCGTGAAAACCAAATTGATTCGCAAATGAGTGTACTTGCTGTACTATGTTTTAATTCTTAGCCTGGGCTACGAAAAAGGCATGGTAAATGGGAAAGTTTGACACTTTCCCGGTTTGCAACTATACACTCTTTTTGCACTGCATCAAAAATTTGGGAAATGGCTGCGTAGTAGTAAGTAGTAAGGAAATTCGAGAACTCCTGAGAACCCGTTCCCTACTCTTATGACGGACCAGTCTGTGTATCTTTTGCCTGGTTAAGATCGAACTGGCTCTTTTCAGTGACAATTTTTTTATTGCGGTAACTTCGTAACAATTTATTGAAGCCAGTGTAACACGCAAATTTCGTTACACACCTGTGCGAACCGGTGCAAAACCTTGGATTCGATTTTCATCATTCTGTTCCAGTAATTGCTTCACTGAACTCCATGAACCACACTTTGTTCCGTGTGAATTTTGTTCCCAACTTTGTACGGTGGATGGCTTTATGACACATCAGGTAACCACATCACATTCGTCCATTATATATATGCTACACTAGAAGTACGTATTTGTTTGCCTTCGAATTTGCCTTTGCATAGATAGATTGTATATCCTTCACAGTTGTGAAGTGTATTTGGAGCAAACAGTTGTGATGGCTGGAAACGCTACTGGTTCTGATTATCCTCACCTGTTTTAGTCTGCCCAAATGAGTCGTGCACTAGCTTGTATACCAGGAGGATGACCTTGGAGACAGTATGTTTCCAGGACGATAGTGAAGTGGTTCGGGCCCAATTTTTCCCGCATTATGGGAGGTAGACCGATCCTCGATGCCACAGCGCATTCTAGGTTAGGACTTCCGCAGTGCAGCACAGAGCTTATCCAGCTCATGTAACTAACCTTGGAGGATGTTCATACATAGCTAGGAATATGTCTGATGAGACATCGCATTTCATGCACGTGGGTGATGACCTTAACCGAATCCTACCTTTTTTGCCTTGGGTTGCAGTTCCAATCGACAGTTCATTAGATTACTTCAAAAATTACGCCCTTCTTCAGATGTAGTCAGAGGATTATGTCCTACCCCTAGAGAATATGAACTTAGAATCACAAACAAGCCTTTTGTAAATTTCAGAGTACCTCCTTGTGAGGCTTTTTTTCTGGAAATGGGACAGGTCGCATAGAAAGTAAAAACGTACGCTGGAAGCGTTCTCTGCTCTCCGCTTTTTCTATGTTGTCCTCTTCAATACTGTATGTGCGCGTGTCAATCAACGAAGCAATTGAATGTCCTTTCGTCTCTCTTTCTACACGACGACAGTATCCGTTTTTATTTACGGTGTGACTCGTAAACAAGCGTCTTTTCATCATTCCATTACCCCTCAGATGTGCAAATAGTTCTCACAAAAATCACACTCAAATCATTTCTTCCCCAAGTGAGTACACTAACCAGAAACCGACAATTTAGTCCCTCCCGAGAGTATGCGCGTTTCCAGGGGAGCGCTGTATTATGAAGCCACAATCGGTAGCAGTTGCCCACTACTAAGAGACCTTTCGGCTCTCTGAATATCACACCACATACTCACTAGCCATTATTTGACCTTTCATGAATAAGTCAGCATTAGTGTTGATAAATTCAGATTATGATTATGAATACTTGTACAAATGTGTCCCTCCAGGTCATTTAAGCAGAATGCGTCAAATCTAGAAGGAGTCCTGTTCATCTCCGTTATGTGGCACGCAAGAGTGCGTTATCTGTAACTTGACGTCGTCTTCTGTTTTGTTCTTCGTTTTAACTCAGTCAGACATTTTTTAGCGCTTTCAGTGATATTGGAACCACCCAGTTTTACTTCATTTCTTTGGAGTGCCTAGATTTGGTCAAGTGACGGGTGAATCCACTTCATGTACACACTTATTTTGTCTCTGGTGAATCGACCCGTCATGCATAGTGCGACTAAGGGCAAACATTGTCGTACGTAGGGATAATACCCACTTGATGAATAAAACAGAGAACCCAGATTACTTATGATTCGAAAACACCACTTCCTTGGGAGAGTTCCTGGAGTACAGTTTTATGCGAGTTCCCCCGGAACGCTTCCGTCCCGACAGGAAGCTTCAGTATGCCCGTGAGTGAAAAACTTAGCGTTGCCGAAACGAAATAGGCTTTGTGGTACAGGCCAACTCGCCCCGGGGTTATAAACTGTTTGAGACTTGTTCAACTGAGTTAATCTAGCTGAACGGATCAGTAATCCATTATTGGTATCCTCATTGAATAACATCAAGCCTAGCTTTCTCTGCAGCCCAGTGCCACTCCACTCATCGTGTGCTAATTGCGTAACACTGTGGTTTCATGCTTCAAGGAATGAAGTATCAAGTACTGGTGGTCTTATGCACCTAAGTATAGACAAGTTTGTGATCCACACGTGGTTGGTCAAAGTTCGCTTGTGATGCTGTTCCCGGAAAGTGTGACCTTGGAATTACCGTAACAGGATAATGACGCAAGTGGGTCCTGGAGTAACATGGATAATCGGGAAAGATCTGGTGGAGGTTGTTGCCAGTCGATCGACGTTTTTTTTTGGATTGCGATACCGTTTCAAAATCCTGATAAACTGTGGAAAACGAGTTGTGGTAGTTCGCGGTCGCATGGCATACATTCAACGGAAGAGACTCCTACGGGTTCAATAGACTTGTCACTGGTTTCGAGAGGGCTCGGGGAAACCACAAATTTTCCCCTAATTCATTCAGCGTTTCGTTCTCGATGTTTATCGGGCTTGGTCAGTCAGAAGCGTATGTTTGACTTTCATTTATGTGTATTGCGGTATTGCGGTTTCTTCAGAGTAGGTCAGTATTCTTTGCAAACCTAGATAGCACTAACGCCCTACTACTGACTACAAACGAATAATCGATACTCTTGGTTCTAATGCACGGACTGGATGAACGTCATTAGTTTGCTATGTACGGCTTTGAAGGTTGCAGCTGCCTTACGTCGTCGTCCGAGGAAGTGCGATCGCCAACCACTCCAGGCCCTTTCAGATGGTGGCGTACACAAACTGCGTTGAATCTCCCCCCGTTGAGATTTAACAACCTCCCATTATTGCGTTCGTGGATTGAATGGTGTTACTCAGTTAACCTTTCTGTTCCCTGTCAAGTGACTTCGTCCATCGCCACTCTCTGCACTTCTAACTGCTCTGGTGTTTCCGGTCTAGAAGTGTTGTTTGTGCCCGCATTTTTTCTTCCTTTCTTGTCTCATCAAGTTCAGCCTGGTCCGTCGTAACAAATACTTTTGTTATCATCTGGCGGTGACGTGTCCCCTCTAGTTTCCTTTTAACCATCATTTGTGGCCAAATCCTTCAGTCTGACTCCACCACTGCGCATTCCCGGTGAATTTGACGTCCACACTTCCCCCATCCAAATCTTGCAGGGTTCGATAACCAACTGGTTTCCTTTTCAGCGAAGCCGCTGATCGAAACGTTGACGTTGCTGAAACCCTATATCCGTTCATGACCACATTTTTGTGACAGCCGGTCTTCTTTCTTCGGACCAACCATTCTTACCCGCCGTCTTGTTGTCCGGCAACAAGCTTCAGTTCTTCTCTATAGGAGTTGTTCGTCAGATGATCCCCCAGTTTTTGTATTGAGTCAGGGATACATTTTAAGGTGGTACGTACGATTCCGTTTGTCCCTCTTTTTAAGCTTCAAATGGCCTAACGACATGAATCGCCATACGGCCGAGGATTAACCGGAGTTCACGGACGATGGTTGGTACATCCCTCTTCTGTAACGCGAAAAAGGCGGAACGGCAGTAGTGCGCAAAATCGTCGTTTTGAGAGATGAGCTGAGCACCTTTAAGGGTAGTTCACATGGCATTCTTCAACTAAACCTCTGTAAGGACCCAACGAGACTGAATGGAATATCGACACCAGCCCGACATAAAAAAACAGAAACCCAACGTGAGATATCATTCATTCAATGTGACACGGCACCCGGTCCGGATGGCCTTTCTGGAGATGGTGAAGCCCTGATGTGCTATCTGACCACGGTCTATGACCTGGGAGCCAAGTATGATGGAAGTAACTAGTAAGCTCAGTCGCGTTGATAACTGATCACGTCTAAGACTTATTGTTGAGGTTCCTGATACGTAACTCTGAGTGGCGCGTAGGTTTGACAATCCCGGATAGCAAAATGAACTATTGGGTTAGGATCTCTATGGTACTAATTACTCAAGGGTAAACAAATGTGTGCAACAAACCTCAAATGTCCACATTCGTAGCGTCAACAAGTGCACAAGCCTGTCACTGACCGGCACTGTGCAATGTCAACGTCCGCAAACCAAATAACGGCGAACGGGATGTTGGCTCAGCAATGTGGGCTGCGGCCGGCCGTTCCGACGACAATCTCCTGATTCTCATTGGCAGTTTGATCACTCGGAACTCATGGGAAAACAAGTCAAGGTAAGTTCGGGAAGCGGGACACGAGCGCGCATGTTTGAGTATGAGGGTCGCGCAAATTCACACGCAGACGTACATGCTAGTACACAAGTGTCGGGTGGGATGACCTTTGTGGTAAGGTGAGTGGCGGGTACAGATAAGCAAAGCAGATGGGGATCAAAAGTGCATAGACGGAGTAAGCAAAGGAATGGGGGAATTATCGTGAGATCAAATTAGATTCAATACGTGTGAACTCTAAACTTCTAGGGAACCAATGATGTTTAGCTACTGAAAATTTGTGTATAACTCACGGGGTTTGTGGAAACCGAAAATTTGTTTCGCCTCTGAAGGACGTGCTAGTGAAATAAACTAGTTTTGTATGTTTACATAAAAAAGCTTGAAATGTGATCCTTGGGAACAACTTACAGTTTATCCATCCATCAACTCTAAGAACTGATTGGGAATTTTGGATACTCACGTGACATTGCAGTGCTGCACACAACCCAGCTGTTATGTGTTCACCTCAAGCCATCGATTGATCCACTGGCGAACTAGGTTTGAAATGCTGATCCGAAGTGCCTTGTTTTTTTATTCGGAGAGATATGGATTTCAAACACTACATGAACGACTATATATGACGACTCTCCAGGAATTGGGCAAATCGGAAGTTAGACGGGCGCGAAATCTAGGCGAAAATATGCTTGACATGTAGTTCAGTTATAGAAATTAAATGGCGATGTGCTTGTTCATTAGTCAGTTATCCGGATCACCTATTCTCATGGTCGCACTATTTCCGATAGACTGAGTTGATTGAACCGTATTCCGAAACTAAATATGTACCCAACGTAGGATTCATTGACTGGCCTACTAAATTCTGTCAAACCCTGAAAGAACATGTGGTTTTATTCGCATTTCGTGCACCTAGTTTCCTAATATGGACCATTCATCCATTGCCACTTCAGTTCTCTTGCCCAGAAAATCCATCCTCTGGCCTCACGAACTTTCACACCGAGGCAACTGCAAGTCCACCCGTGTCAGTCACTGAGAACCTCAGCAAAGTCTCGCCCAATTACAAAGAGCTGTCCGGAAAGAACCCGAAAGTTCCTGTGACTAAGCCCTCTGGTGGTAAGTTGATCTTTATTCTGACTTATCCTGCCATCACTTCCACACTGCTATACAGATAACTGCAGTTACAGTTAACTTTCCCAACTTCAACATGTTTGGCAGTGTTAATGAGGCTTCGATTGTTGTGTTTTGCCCATCATGGTGTACACGAATCCTTACTGAAGCAAAGGCCGCGACGCCTCTCACGAGGTTCGACTAGGGAAGTACGAGCCTCTGTCAAGTGGGATATATCCATTCGGACTTGATCGCCAACTGTAAGAGTGAGTCCAGCGATCGTACTTTTCTTTAATTGGTATATGATTAGTCAGAAAGTTGAAATCCGATCGCCTGTCAGCCCTCATTTTCAGAAAGAGGGACGTAAAAACCTCCAAAGTCTGGAAATCCGCATCTGATATTCCATGTTTGCATCCAGTGAACAGGTTTAGGGGTTATTCCTATGAGAAGAAATAACACTTTGTGAGGCTGGTTACAGTTACGATCAAACGGCCTTGATTCCTCTGTTCTGCGTCACGAAGTCTTGGTTTTTAAAAACAAAAATATGTTGATGTATCAGTTGTCTAGATCGAGCAGTGGATATTTTCCTTCGTTGTAACCCACAGCGTTAAGTTCGCGCATCTCTTCCTGCACGAATAAATTCTGTTGTCTCCAGCCTTTTTTCCGTTCTTGTCTTTCCACATCTTCCCCCTCTATGATTGATGGTGGCAATGAAGAGGTCGAAATGTCTTCTGGTCTTGTTGACTTTCCAACTTCTTAGCTTTTAGGCTATCTACCAACGGCATATACAATGGACATTTGAACGATCCACTCAGTTATGTCACAGTGGTCGGATGCATGACTGATGGGAACAAGATAGTGGGAGTCTACAAATCATGCTAGGTCAGCCGATCCGATGTTTAAGTGTGTGTGTGTGTGTGTGTGTGTGTGTGTGTGTGTGTGTGTGTGTGTGTGTGTGTGTGTGTGTGTGTGTGTGTGTGTGTGTGTGTGTGTGTGTGTGTGTGTGTGTGTGTGTGTGTGTGTGTGTGTGTGTGTGTGTGTGTGTGTGTGTGTGTGTGTGTGTGTGTGTGTGTGTGTGTGTGTGTGTGTGTGTGTGTGTGTGTGTGTGTGTGTGTGTGTGTGTGTGTGTGTAGTCTAGAGGTACCGGAGGGATGGCTTTGAAAACACCGAGTGTTGAAGTACTTTTTGGTGGTCCGATTCGTCTGATACTTTTGTCACTTTCCACCAGTCTTCAGAATTTTCGTTCTGGTTACTTTTGTTGTCTACTGACCACATGGTTTCGCTTGTTGGTGACGTCACGTGTGTGATCAGTGGTCAGAGAATGGATGCGGGGAATATGATGAACGAATAATCGATATGTAAACGGAAGTCAGGCTACGTAGTTCGACATGCGGCTTAGATGTAGAAGATGGCGGACTGGTCACAAAATAGCATTGGGCGAATGCGCGTAGTTCGCCGATAAATCGGTCTCTCCTCATAGCCACTTTCTTACGTTAGCCGAAATCGCACGGTAAAACGACAATTTCGTCGTTCAACTACACGGTCTTACAGTTCTTCAACCAAACCAGTTTCAGACTCTGTTGTATCAAGTGGTGTGCAAGCCGCACCGTAGATGGGGAAAATATCTTCTGCTTTAGTTATAGAGAAGAACCCGGAACAAGTTGATATTGTATCCATCTCATAGCAACCTCACATGCCTCAAGACTCATAGCAAGCCACATGTAAATTATCAACTATTTGTTCGCTTGTAGTTCCAGTCTCCACTGGACCAGACCTATTTGCATTTCTTGCTTATCTATATTGTCAATGAATGCGATGTGGTATTGCCCATTTCTGTCGACAATTCAGTCTTTTGTAGCAGCTATTTGTCAGGCGATCTAGGTGTGGTTTTGTGCTGCTTTCGATGGTGATCGACTGAGCTTTCCGTACATTCACATTTTTTCAGTAACCTTGTCTCCCAGTTTCGTATTACTACTGTCTGCATTTTCCCTCAGATTGTCTGTCTCATGACAAATCTAAAGTAACTATGTGTGAATTTAGGGTATGCTAAGGACTGTTCAAACTGTGGTGTGGAGTTACGCACTCTGCAGGGCTTTCAAACTTCGGTCCATCTGGACAGTTTGGGATTTCTGTGATAACATATGCAGAATTTTATTTAGAAATCCTGTGGTGACGCCGTGACGTGGAAAAGGTTGTTCTGCTGTGTAGCTGTGGTTGCCATAGGCACTCACTTAATTTCATTGCATGTACGTGGTTCGTATCCCCATATTAATATGCTCGTTTAATTTTCAAAATTAGGAAATATTTTAGGAAAGGGTTTGTCTATAGTGTTTTCTTGTGATATGCAATGAACCACGACATCAATGTTAGTTCGTTTGGAAGCCAGTTGCAAAGGGGACTACTGATGATGGTGTGAATCTCCGCTCTACTTACACAGACGTCTTTCTCGTGGTCCCTTGTGTTCTTCCGAAGAGGTTTCCTGGTGAACCGGGAAAAATGCGTTGGCTTTATTGGAAGAGACTACTCATAAGATTGCCGAAAACTCCTCAACGGCCCACGCCCTGATGACCCCAAAGAAGGTTCTTCAGGTATACGCAGTCCTCGAATTAGCATCAACCTTACGTTCTGCTTGGACTAAATGGCCCACGTGGATAGAGCGCGAATTTACTGACCGGAAGGTCCGTGGTTCGAACCTGACCTCTGACTCTCGACTTCCCCTGCCTAGGCTTGGGCAACCTAGCAGTATCCCAGCCCTTGTGCTTCTTTCTGGTGACATAGCAGTTAGGCACCGAAAGAGTGATACAGCTGAACGATCTGCTTGGACATAAATTAGATGAAATCCTACAAATACGCTCATTTGCATAGTAATTTGATTTTGACGGAAGATTCAACAGAATCCAGCTGAATCTCTCGTCCTCTATATCCTTCAACTGATTGTGCCGTACAAAGGCCTACCTGATGAGCCAAAAAAAGGATGAAGCCGATCGTGAGTTGTCGGGGAGTTTTCAGCGTCTTTGTGAGTAGTTTCCTTCATGAAAATATACTACAATATCTCGGATATCGTACCAACTGAAACAGCACATTGTCTAGCACATTCAATTGAAGAATGTCATAAACAAGAGATTCAGCTGGGATTCGGGTGGGTCTCCGGTGTAAGGAGTCCAGCCGTCCGTAACAACCCAACACCACATTTGGACGGATGTGTCACGTGCAGGACACGGGCCAAAGGAAGACATGCCCTGATTGGTCAGAATGCCAGTCAATCCGAGTCGAGCGTGACTCGACGCTTCTCGCCCCCTCATGGTGATTCTGACACGACCTTGTGGAACAATCTGTGAATACCCCATAAATACAGTTGTAATAATTTTCCTTTGCCTCCATAAAGGGCTGTGTAGAGCTACCGTGCCTTTTGATATACCGTGGTGGGCGGAGCAGGAAGCCCAGGGATCGATACAGAGTTGCACGATCGTCCACCAAGTCACAACACCGGTGAGAACCAAATTAGTGTGCAAATGAGTAAATGGACCATCTATTCAGTTTGGTCAAAGTCCGTTAACCTTATTCGCATGCCTTCATATACCATTATTTTTCTGGTGCAAGTTGCAGGAGTAATTACCCGCATGCCATTCTTTAACGGGTTCAAACGAGCTAATGATTAGCCTGCATCGAGAACGCGTCTGGTTACCTGATTTAGCCGGTGGTCGATAACAAAATGGACATAATCCTGAAACTCGCTGTGCAACAAATATGCCCTTGTGTTTCTCTCACGAGATACTAATGAACACAGAAAATCGCCTTATTCCGTTTGACCTTCAGTGCATATTCCATAGGTGCAGCATGTTAGTATTCCTACGGATTCGTACATTCATATGTTTTCAACTGACTAGGTGTTAACAGTGGAGATCGTTCCGGACCGTAGCGGCTTTGCGTGCACAGTGGTATCACGTGGTTGTCTCAACTGACCTTGAGCAAGAAACATTTACGTTTGGTTAACTTCCTCTCGTTTCCACGCATGCAGAGCTCACCTATCCAGTGTTCCTATAAAAAAAACACTGTACTCGGAAATATTTTCCCGTATACTCTGACGTGGATTCCGCATTAAGAGGACTACAAAGAGCATCCTGTTCGGTTCTGATGGTAGCATGTTTTTCTTTCTTAAATGGGATCATAATGGGTAGGTCCTTTCACCCCCAAGGTGTCTTACCGATCCGAGGGATTTCTCTTAAAGAGTTTTCTTCTCGAGGTGACGTGTTTTCGAGTGTACCACCGCGATCATTGGCTGTCTATAACCCTCAAGTATAGTCGTGACAAATAAAAGCATTAACTTTTCCTGACCAAGTTCAGTATCTTTCATAGGATACAAGGTGCCTATTTTTCACTCCTTTTAATGAGTTTTTGCTTAAGGGTTTGTTTTCAACTATACTTTCACTAGAAATCCCTTAGCTCCCTTTACAGAGTAGCATGTCCGCTTCGGAGAGTCGATCTGTACTTCCGAATCGTCAGTATCTCCCTAATTCCGACTAGCATATCGATCGCAATTAGGCGTTCTCCGTTGTGGTTGCTGAGCTCAATTCCATCCGATCACGAGCAGCCAAAATCTTTTCGTTCACGAAATTTGATTTATTAAAGCGTCATTTCATGACATCATCATTTAGCTCTAACCAGTATTGTTTACCTGAATACAATCCTGATGTGTAGGAGAGGTGAGACAAGAAAAGAAGGCCGCATTCGAAGTGCCTTTAATTCCAACATTGAAAAGAAATTGGAAGCACGAACGCCGCATACTTCATTTTGATGCCGTATCTTTCTGCCAAGCTCAGAGAGAGTCTCGAAGCAAGGAAGGCAATTCGTACCCTTAGAATCCAGACTTGCTCTCTTCTAGCCTGCCTTGCTCTCTTCTGGGTTTCAAGATGCGCGATTTTCGTGCCCCCCTGACCCAGATCTGGCACGATATGCAAATCCCTCCGCATATATATATATATATATATATATATATATATATATATATATGTG